CAGTACCAGAGAAAACAGGTAAAGAGAAACTACCTAACCTCTGCTAATGAAAGTGCTGGATTTGATTTAGTAATGGATCTCGTTTCTTGTCAGTACTGAAATCAGTGGTCATAGAGGTTAACATTTTAGACATATTAAAAAGGCCCCTGATGAGTTAGGGTCACAAAAAGCATTTTCCAAACTCATCTGGTCATAGATTTTGCAGGATTCTTTCTAGAGTCCCACTAGCTACCACTAGTCTTACAACTAAGACCCCTCAATTATACATACCCACAATGTACACCCTAACTCCTAAGCTCCTTTCACCTGTTTGAAAGACTCTGGTCTCTAGAGACTTTCTACTTGGACTGAGAAGTCAGTAGAGATGCACCAATACATCGGTCCGATATCGGATCAGTACTGATATAACGAAAATTGGCTGCATCAGAAATCAGCCCAACAGGGCCGATAATTTGGCCAATAAATACCCGTGCATGTGTGCAGCCACAGCGCAGCACGCAGGCAGCAAGGAACACAGCCCAGAAGCATGGAGAGCTGCTTCCCACTGGTAAGTCTATTGTGGTGGAAGGGGAGGGGGGAGGGAAAGGACATGGGGTGGGGGGGCAGATCAATCCCCTCCACCCCAGCTGGGCAGCACCTGCCCCCTCCCTCATCGCGGGGGGAGGGTTGATTTGCCACCTGCATGCCCCTTCCCTCCCCCTCCCCCTTCCACCACAATGAACTTACCAGCTGGAGGCAGTTCTCCACACTGTTTTGGAAATCGGATCGGTATTGGTCGATATGCCTCCTTAAAAATTGGATATCAGTATTGGCCCCAAAAATCTCTATCGGTGCACCCCTAGAAGTCAGGATTCAGAATCAAAGTATATCCCACTATTTAAGAAAATAAAATAAAATGGGAGTGGGGCAAGTTGAGAAAAGCATCTTTGCCAGCTCAGGGTAGTAATGACCAAAAGTCATTGCCAGCCAAAGCTGTCTGGTAATCAGTATAGAATGAGTTACTGTCTCAGTCCAACTCACACTGGTCCAACTCACAAAAAGCACTACAATAATCACACATTTTGATAGTCTCAAAAGCAGCTGCACCTGTTTTGAGTTGAGGCATGTACAAGATGTGGCAAGGTAACCTGGCTGTGGTTCATGTCACATCTAGATAGGTGAGACTATAGAGCTGTCACTCAAAACACTTTTTACAAGCATGATGTTCACTTTTGCTTTGTAAAAAGAGTGCATTGTTCATACTAAATGACTGATCCCAAATGAAATCTGACAGAATGCCAAGTTTGGCATTTTGAAGACCAGAAAGTTTTAACTGCAAAATGTACTCAAAAAATATTTTTAAATTATTCTTTCAACTAAAAATGGTTGAAACAATTTCATCAAACTTGACAGACAAGCAAAGATATTTTGGAATGGGGATCAAGCTCAAAATATTTCAGCTAGAAACACACACACACTTTTCACTATTACCAAACCTTGGCGAGAACTAGAAAGTCTGTAAGCCCTGCTTTCCCAGCCTTAATGCATGCGTGCGTGTGTACATACAATGAAGGAGTGAGGGACAGAGTGGGTTTTGTTGTTTTTTTTTTTTTTTTTTTTTTTACACTTTCAAGACACGCAGGTATTTCCTAACCTAAATTTGGAGTGAAACTGACTTTAAAAGGGACGTGATGTAGGTAGAAACTGATGATCCCACATTCCACTGATTTCAGCTTGACTTATGTCAAACACCACAAAACTACAAGAGAGATAAATGAACATGCACAGCCCACAGTGTAAATGTTCTGAAAAAAATCTATGCAACTCCAGGAATACCTGGGTAACCCTTTTCAGAATTGTAGATCAGAGTCTTCTCTAGGTATCAGATGGGCCTGTGAAGACGGACACACTTTATGAAACAGAGTGAAATATGGCTGTCACAAAGATGTAAAAGTCTTGCTTTGTTAAGAAAAGCCAGCATCTGCTCCATGGACTTGGGG